GTCTTCCTCAGTAGACTGACCCAGTGAGGCTTGTCACATTGTGAGTGACCAGAGTGACTGGTAGAAAGCTCTAGGTGAGAGAACTTCTTTGTGTTGGACCTAAAGTCGAACTTTAAACAGATACAGATCATCATCCTCACCTGCGCCTGGTATACAGCCAGCGGGAAGGTCAGGCCCAGCCGCAGTACGGCCGTTGTCATGACGATGGTTGCCCACCACGGCAGCCCGGTCTGGAGGTGTGATGACTGTAGGAGTGTCATGGCCGCCTGGACCGGCGGCGAGTCTGGGCCGAACAGGTCAGCGTACAGGCCTGACGGGGCAGACGCAGCTGGAGACACCTGTACTGCAGCTGCTGCAGCTGTAGACACCTGTTCCACTGCAGTTGTTTCTATAGACACCTGCTCCACTGCAGATGTAGACACCTGTTCCAGTGCAGCAGCTGCAGTTGTTTCTGTAGACACCTGTACTGCAGATGCTTCTGTAGACATCTGCCTGCTACACACCAGAACAGACACATTCCTGGATGTGAGGCAGGGAGCAGTCCTTAGGAGGAAGGTCCCGTTTCTTGAGGAAATGCTGAGTAGTCTGACAGACTGCTGAAGTCTCATGTTACAGGTGTGACAGTCTGTGCCTTGTCGGCAGGGAGCGAGACAGAAGAGGCTCCTTGGGAAAAACCTTCTTGTTCTTGAACTGTGGCGTCTGCTGGTGCCGACATGAGGGCAGCTGGGAAATGTCCTCCACAGCTGCGATGACTGTTTTAGAACCTGGGGGTGAAAGGAAGAATATTGAGGTGCTCAGTCCTTTGTAGCATATATTTTTATGACGTTTTGTTCAATGCAGTTGATATGGACATAATTTTATTTACAATTTGCACAAAATTGGCAGCTAACATTCACCAGATATCATGTTTACATAGATGTAGATGTAGATATTCTAATGCACACATCCAAGTCTCGCTATATATCCGTAATTAGAAATATCAAATCAGAACTAAACATGATATAAATTGAA